ATGTAAGACTGTAATGACAGTGAAGACGTAGTCACCTGTCAATAATCACCAATAAGGGAAAAACATACAAGATTTTCTTTCTTGAATCGTCAGTGTGATTGCCAGTAGTACAAGCCTAAGTCTGTTTCTGTCTTGGCCGGTTGCTGCACTGTTAATGTCAGAAAACAAAAACTGCTTTCTCTGTAACCTGATGCCTCTGCCCCACATCAACATCACATGAGTGCACATCCTGAAAGAATTAGAAGTTTCAGTGGCCAGCAAGTAATGACGCAAACGTATTTGAAAAGAATGCGGTCGGTCTACCTTGGTAAACCAGATAGGTGACATTCCTCTAGAAACGCCCAGCAAGGCTGCGTTGTCCCCGCCTCTTGTCCGTCTATTCTCTGGGGTTCACTGTCATTCTCGCTTCTTCTCTGTCACCACTTTAACGTCTTTCTAGGGCATGAAAAAAGGAGCCAAGTCAGAGGTGAAGAAGATGGGCCCTCTGAAAGTTGCCCACCTCAATGGCCTGTCCATATCCAGGCAGCCAGTCCACAGCGAGATTAAGGATGAGCCTGAACGAGCCTCGAATGATGAAAGGGTATGGCATCTAAAAATGTTTGAATTCGTGAGTGATTTTCTGTGTAAATGGGATGCGTTTAAGCTTTATGCACTTAGTTTAGACTCTTGGAGGACTTTTTATGGAGGGTATGTGTTTTTGTTCAGAGCTTTGAAACACAACTGAACTTGTAAGGATGGCTAATCTTTATGGTTGTTGTGCTAATAGTGAAAGTAAACCCAAAAAGTTGGGACACTAAATAAATGCAGAATGATTTGCATATCCCATAAACCCATATTTTATTCACAATGGAACATAGAAAACATCAAATGAGAAAAAGAAAATGTTTTGAATTTGATGGCAGCAATGTGAGTCAAAAAGGCAGGGACAGGGTCATTTTTACTACTGTGTAGCATCTCCTCTTCTTCAAAAACAGTTTGTAAGTGTCTGAAGAACTGAGGAGACCAGCTGCTGGACTTTTGGGAGACGAATGTTGTCTTTTATCTTCTAGCTGCTGAACAGGTCTTCTCTGTCATATTTTTCATTGATGCCGTGATGTCAGATGTTTTTAGTTGGTGAAATATCTGGACTACAGGCAGGCTAGATCAGCTCCTTCTACCACGAAGCCAGGCTACTGTAAAAGATGCAGTATGCATATGCCTTTCAGCATTTATGCTGGCTTTCTAGAAATATTCAAGATGCCATTTTTATAGGCACTAATGCAGCTACTTGTCATCAGAGATGCAGACTTTTGAACTGAGTGCTAATAACAAGCATGATGGCCTCTTTCCTCCTTAGTCTGGAGGACATGATGTGAAAAACAGACTTTGCATTTTCAATTAGTCTGTGAAAATGAGCTTTGTCCCAGAACAGACAGTGATGGTTGTGGATTATGATTACACATCACTTCTTTGAATTTGTGGGAGACACGGTGAACTCTGTTCAGGCACTAATTTCTGGATGTGTTCCTGAGCCTATGCAGCACCACCCGAGTGTAACCACAGATTAGACATCCAGTATTGATTTTACAGTCATTGTTGTGACCTGTTTGTTAAAATAATGCATTTTCTCAGTTTAAGCATTTGATATATTTTCACTTCCGTGCAAAATATCTTCTTTGACAGCATTGTCCATGACAGTGACATATTTTCCGTTTGCATTTGTCAGTGCAAAGTGTTGGAGCAGCACATGGAGAAGGGTGAAGTGTTGAAGGAGTACGAGAGCATCCCAAAACGTCCAAAAGGGGAGTACACGATCGCCCAGCTGCCAGAAAGCGGAGACAGAAACCGCTTCCAAGACGTCCTGCCTTATGACGATACCCGAGTGGAGCTGGTTCCCACTAAAGAGAACAACACGGGCTACATCAATGCATCACACATTAGAGTAAGTTGTTTTGGGGATGTATGTACATACATTTGCAAACCAGATAACTAGAAATACTGTGCAAATACTCCCTCAGATTTCTGCGACTCTTAAATTTTAGTCGTGCTTAATGGTTTGTGGTAAGGCTGCGTGTTAGTCACCTTTACTTCCTCTTTCTGGAATTTCAGGCATGACAACATAACATCTTCCATAGATGAATAATATTTTCTGCTGCACTGGCTCTCCCTTTTTAAAAGAAATGACTGAGAATGCTCCTTATGTCTTATTTCTCATTAGATGACAGTAGGTGGGCAGGAGTGGAATTACATTGCCTCGCAGGGTCCCATGACGCACACGTGTCAGGATTTCTGGCAGATGGTGTGGGAACAGGGTGTCTCCATCATTGCCATGGTCACTGCCGAAGAGGTACGTTGATTTAATTTTAAACCCCTTCATATTTTTTTCCCTCCCTGTCTCTATGTGCACTGACATATGCGCATCATCTCCTTCGTTCAGGAGAGTGGTCGAGAAAAGAGCTTTAGATACTGGCCCCGACTTGGCTCCCGGCACAACACAGTGACGTACGGGCGCTTCAAGATCACCACGCGGTTCCGCACAGAGTCCGGCTGCTACGCCACCACTGGGCTAAAGATCAAACACCTCCTGACGCAACAAGAGAGGACTGTCTGGCACCTGCAGTATACAGACTGGCCTGACCACGGCTGTCCCGAGGACTTCAAAGGCTTCCTCAGTGAGTGGATCAGTATCAGTTTATAATCAGATCTTTACCTTTTGAGCCTAATAACCTCTGCTACATTCAGGTTTCCAGAAATGTAGTTAAATATAAAGTTTGCGTTCTCATCTTTCTCCAGCCTACTTGGAGGAGATCCAGTCTGTGAGAAGACACACGAATAGCATCAGTGACCCAAAGAACTCCAACCAGCCTGTGCTGGTGCACTGCAGCGCAGGAGTGGGTCGGACTGGAGTTGTCATCCTGTCTGAGATCATGATAGCGTGTCTAGAGCACAATGAGGTAATTTTCTTACCCTAATGAAGGGTTTTTTTTGTTTGTTTTGTTTTTTAAGTGATTTTTTGGGGGGTTTGTGTGTATTATCTTTGTATTATCAAAAATGAATATTTTCTCTTTCAGCCATTGGATGTTCCCAAGCACCTGTTGGCGCTACGCAATCAGAGGATGCTGATGGTTCAGACCTTGTCCCAGTACAGCTTCGTGTACAGGGTCCTCATCCAGTACCTTCGCAACTCCCGGCTGATCTGACCACGGGCATCAGCACAGATGATTGCAGTGGATTTTGCTCCACAGTTGTGCCAAACTGCAGTGCAGTGATGCAGATGTTTGAATCTGTTCTGAAAGGTGGCTGCTTACATTCTGTTCTGGCCGTGTATTAGAGCCGGCAAGCCGGGAGGTGCCGATTGTTGAGATGTGCAAGACGCTGTGCCACATGAAGGGGCACAAAGACTTGTGACCTGTCTCTAAACAGTATTATATATTATTTCTTACATATATTGGCTACTTTATAAAGCCCAGCACTTTCAGAGTACCATGCTGTACATAAAGAACCAATATTAAGCTGCATTAAAAAATTCTTTTAGATATCTATCAAAAATCATTGGTTGATTTTTAACTTGCCTAAGAACACTTTTATTGTCAGTATGTTTTGAATTGCTGTTGCTTTATTAATTCCGATAATGAAGGATTTATTTTTTTTAAGTTTGGAAAAGCTTGGAAAATGTGTTTGATATGAAATCCATGGATTTAAACTTTATTTAGTGACCTCTGCTGGTGCAGACGGAAGGATGCCAATTCATGCAATAAACACAGATATGGCTGTGTGATTTAGTGTAGTCATCTGTATTATTAAATAGTACTTTTTTTTTTTTTAAAGACGCCATACCTGCCCAACATTTGTTTACTGAACCAATAAACCTGCTGAAAGAGGCGTGGGAAGTGATGAAAAAAAAAGAAAACACGCACTGGACTGATCAAAGTAGAAATTTGCTGCATGGGTTTAAAAAGCAAAAATAAATGCTGGGTTTAGAGTAAAACTGGAAAATCAGTTTTTATCTTAAACTGAAGATGAAGTGTTATGTTTCTGCGCTGTAATGCTGGCGGGCCTCCGTAGCTTGGTAAAATATGAAGGAGTGCAGTGATGCCTTCAGAAACACGAGGGTTGCAAACATTAATAAATTCAGCTCATCCCTGATATCATGACAGCAGCGTCTTTGTTTCAATGAAGGGCATAAAACTAAAAAAAAAAAGAGGAGGTGGTGTTGCAACAGTGTTACCATAAGAGTGCATGCAGTGTGTTGAGTTTTGCATCACCTCTGCTGGCCATGGTGCTCGGTTTGAAGTGCAAACTTGTATGGATGTTGTATCTCTTGTTTCAGTATTCTGGCTGCCACACTTGTCCCGACTCCATAGAGAAATGTCACTCTGTAGATACACTTCCTGCTTCCACAAATGGCTGCCAGACTGTTAATGAACACTTGTGCAGTCATATTAAACCGGAGTTGGGTTTAGCTGCTCTGCTGCAGCTGTGAGTTGCATCCAGATCCATTTTTTTCCCTGTGCAGAACAAAATTGTTCTGGATGCCAAAGTAATACTAGTTTTACTGACCTGATGTTCGGGGGATTTTTTGCATCAAAGGAACATGTTACTCAACAGGAGGGGGTGAAATGTTGCTGAGATTTATTAAGTGGAACTTTTTGGGAGGGGGGGGGGCACCATAATTTCCTTCTGATTGTTTGGTTTTGGCAGAAAGACGGAGTCTTAGTTTGGAGACTGAAAATATGGCGTAAGCGTTTTGTCCATGTACAGGTTGTTCATAATGTACACAATGTAAAAGTGTGCTTTGATGAATATTGGTTGTTGTACAAACTGTATCTATTGAACTTAACTTGGTATGCTATTGGACAAAAACAAAAAAAGTGTAGAAATTATTTTCAGCCAAGAATAAAAACTTGGAAATAAACTGTCGTCTGTAGCTTCAATTTATGTGAGTCCATGCTGCCACCTTGTGGTAGAAATGTGCTATACCACTTCTGCTGTTTTTTAATAATTTCAATACAACATGATTGTAGAATTGAAAGAGGTTTATTAATTAAAAACAACAAGAAAAGGCTTCTCACCATTATATAAATAACTATTACAGGATCCTGGAAGGGGAAAAAATAAAAACAGTCTCCTGTGCTTAAAGGAGCATACTGAAGGATAATCAATGGAACTACAGTGTAGTTGTCCTCATTGTAATCAGGTTATTCAGATAGCAGTGGTTTCAGTCATCAGAGTCCATGCAGCATAGCTACTTTCACTTTAAAAACACTGATGACGATGAGCACAGATAAAAGCTTAAGGTTTTCCACCCAATACTGACAATCATCCATCAGATTTTTAAAAAGTTCTCTCATCCATAAAAACCAAACAAACAGTTGAGGTCATGTGAAAAACTACGTCTAGTGTCGCAAGAAAACAAAAACAACAACAAAACCCAGCAAAAGACAATGAGTGGAAGCTAATACTGGTACCGTCCTCGCTTCCCTCCATGCCCACTGTGTCCTCCGTAATCTCCGTGTCTGCCGTGTCCTCCTTGATTCCACCCACCTCCTCTCCAACCACCTCCACCCCCTCCTCTTCCTCCTCCTCCCCATCCACCTCCACCATCTCGTCCTCCTTGTCCCCAGGCTCCTCCACCTCGTCCCCCACCACCGCCACGTCCTCCCCAGCCACCACCTCCGCCATCTTGTCTTTTCTGCCAGGGGGGCATCTCAGGAGGCGGGGCTTCAATCTCTGAGGGACGTCCTCCTCGATCTGGTACTCTTCCCATCAAGATCTGCAAAGACAGGTTAAACAGAACGTCTATGAAGAAAACGTCCAAATCGGCCCCCGACTATTCTGGCCGTGGGAAACGTTTCCTGCACCTTGTTGATGGCACAAGCGGTCTTCTCCCTGCTCGAGCCGCTGCTGGTCTTCACCACATTGCAGAGATCTTCTCTGGCAGCCAGCAGCGCCGCTATGTCCACAAAGGACTGAGGCCTCAGAGAGTGTCTCTTAGGCTGGTAAGCTCCTGCCATGCTGTCCACCTTCACCTAAAACACAACACAACTATCTGAATGCTTCTCGCTATTCGCCAAATAACCACAAAACATTCTTCAAACAAGCAGACGTTAGTTTGAAGTGTGACTGTAAACATACCTTGGCTCTGTCTGACCACCCAAATGACTGAACAGTGACGTCGAGCCGTTTGATCAGCATCCTGCGGCGACATTCGTACTCCGACGATAGAGTTGCGTTGATGCTTTGTAATTTTTCCTGCAAGCATTAAAAAGAGACCTGTAACAACAATACAACCAGATACATACACAGTACAGTGTAGCTACTAGCCAATCATATACATACCCACTGTTCACTACTGAGTGATTTCTTCAGCACTGGGTTTCCAACAGAGGCACCAGGAAGGGTTTTAAGCAAGTTTTCAACCTGTTAAACAAACAACAACAAAAAAATGATCAAAGAGAGACAGTGATGTAAAAATACAATGATTAATGTATTACACACAACAATTTTCTCCTAACTTGCTATCTCAAGTATTGACAGCTAATCAAGCAATGCAGGAAGAAAATGAAGGAAATGTGTCAATGTCTGTCTGTGCCACCTAATAATAATGAGCAGAGAGTGCTACACATTTAAATTACACAGCCAAGAGGTTTTTTTTATGTGTTAATCTGATTATTTTGGCATGGGTGGGACGGTAGTTGCTTCACAGCAAGAAGGTCCTGGGTTCGACCACACCATCTCCCCAAGGCCTTTCTGTGTGGAGTTTGCATGTTCTCACTGTGTCCGAGTGGGTTCTTATCTACAGCTTATAGAATACTTTTTTTTTTAAAAGATTGCATCATGCCTTGTGTTAAAGAAGGAGGAGCAGATCTTTGTTCATTTTCTTTTTTTGTTTGACTGTTTTGCAATTACCGTAAAAGAATTGCGCACACTGCTACTACTATACATACATACATTTTGATCAGTAAATTGAGCCTTATTCTTGCTCATCCTAACTGAAATTACGTGCAGTTTAAACAGCCTCACCTTATTTTGAAGTTGAGAGAAAACTCCTGCGGCCTCCTGTCCCTTTGGCACAGGTAGTTTCAGAGTTTCACAGATTGCTGTGAGCTCCTGGTTCACTGGACTCTGGCCTTGTTTATCAGAGACTTGCCTGCTTCTCATAATCTGGGCGGCCTGAAGCTCAGAGCTTAAAAACACTGAAAAACAGACACAAAAATCTAATCTTCCTACTTACTTACAGTTTACAGCTCACAGAGTGGATTACACAGAATGATACATACAGACAAACTTGAGATGGTCTTTTGTTTTCTGCCCAGTGCCCTTGAGAATCCCTGAAACTTCACAGGGGCAGTGCAGCTCCCTCAGCAGACCACTCATCTCCAGCTGGAGGCTGTCCATATCGTCTTGGAGGAGAAGAGCAAACAAAACAGATGTGAGTGCAAAGATTAGACACTGTTTTTTTGGGTTTTTTTTTTTTAGATCAGATTAAGGTGAGAATGGATGCTGCTCACCTGGGCCTGAGGTGATGCTCTCCTCCAGGTCACACAGGGGCTTTAACCTGGCTGACAGCCACTTGCAGAGGTCTACATATTCAAGCGACTGCAGGCCTCCTTCTGCGGCTCTGAGCAGCGCCTTCTCCTCAAGCAGAGGGCCGTCATAGCTACGGACCAGCACACACCAAAAGTCAAACACATCCAGGAGTTAGACGGGGGTCTTGGCTGCTTTATTTTGATTGAAAACACGCCGCAGGATGTGGAAGCTAAACAGTTATGCTAGCAGTGACTTCGCTTACCCAAGCTGCTCTAACGAGTCCAAAATGTCACACTCCATCGCTGAAGCCGCGAGCTGTTTCACGCGCGTGTATCTACTAAAACCATGACAGCACAGGGGGCTTTAGCATCCATTCATTCCGTTATCGTGGATATCCGCCTCCACTGTGGTCCGACCAAGACAATGACCCGGAATGAAACGGGCGAATTTCGGAACTACCTTCCGCAACTTTGGTTCCGCCTAGGTTCCGCCAGTTTTAGCAAAACTGTAAGTAAAGCGTGTCTATTTTCAAAATTAGAGGTATATATTGTTAAAGTTAAAACAATAAACTTTGTGCATTGATGTCGGAAAATAGATGACAAATACAAATGCTAACATCTAATCAGCCAATTATATGGCAGCAGCTCATTTAGGCATTTAGACCTATGACCAAATTTAGCATCAGAATGGAAGAGAAAGGTCATTTAAGGGACTTTGAAGCCAGTCTAGGGTTTACAGGGAATGGTCCGAAAAGATTGTAGCTATAGATAAATGGCTCCAATCTTAACCTTATTTTTTCACAAAAATTGGTTCTTTTATGTGCATGTAACCTTTAAGTTGAGCTCGAATCTGTACTTTTGTGTGTAAAGCTCTATGTCCAGGCCCGGATGCAGGGGAAATGGACGAGACTGGTTCGACCCACCATCCAGTTCTTCCTGGTGTCGTTCTCTCTGTATGTGGGATACACGCGCGTCTCTGACTACAAACACCACCCGGGCGACGTCCTGGTGGGACTGCTGCAGGGCCCTCTCATCGCTGTGCTCACAGTGAGTGCATTTCTGAGTCACTTTTATTGATGTTTATTATTAAAGCTGAGGATATTTATCCAATTATATAAGGTGAACACTTAAATCCTCTCTTTTAAAGTGTAGATAGACATATGAAAGCATCTACAATGGGGCCATCAGCATCAGAACTGAACTGTCAGCCGACTGGTATGATGAAAGTGATGACGGCTGGATGCACCAAAGGAAGCAGCCAACATCATGGAGGCAGTGTGATGCTCTAGGGAATGTTCTGCTGGGAAACTTTGTCCTGGCTTCCATGTGGATGCTACCCCCACCTAATGTTCTAGACCACTAACAACCACTTATGACAACTGCTTTTCCTCATAGTGGAAACCTTATTCTGCAGGATAATGATGAGTCCGTAATCCTATCAACATAACTGTTAATTATACTACTGCCCATCTAAGTGAGAATACATTTTTTTAAATCTTAGCAAGTTCTAAAGATTAAAAAAAAAAAGAATAATCAGGAATCTTTTTGAGGAACGTCATTGAAGACAAGAAGATGTTAAAAGGCCCTCTATATTTTCCACAGAAAATTCTGCCTTCATGGCTTCTGAGAACCAGCTCACATTTCTATTGCATATCATTACCGGCAGACGTTGCTGTGAATTTTGTAGGAATTTAGCACATTGGGTCTCTCAGCTGTTGATAAAGTCTTTTCTGCAGCGTCCTTTGCAACCACTGACATCGACTCAAAGTAGAGCAGCTACTCCTCTGTATCAAAAAGAGCCAGTTAACGTGGTTCAGACATCTGATTGGGATGCCTCCTGGCTATGTCCCATTGGGAGGAGATCCAGGACATGCTTGAGAGATTATATCTTTCAACTGGCTTGGGAATGCCTCAGTATCCTCCTGGAAGACTTGGGGAAGATGTCTGCAGAGAGTGAGGTCTGGACATTTCTGCTTTGACTGCTGACCCATCAACACTGCCCCAGATAAGTGACAGAAGACGGATGGATCGATGGCTAGATGGGTTTTGGGCTTGAACTAGTTCTACATTTTGTGGTCCTACCTCACAATGTATAGAACCTAAAGGATCTGTTGCTGAAGTCTTGGTTGTCAATCCTCAGAGGTCCCCACCCATTTAATGTTGCGGTTCACTAAATGTATGTCTTCTTATATTTTGCCTTCTCTATGCAACATTGTATACGTTGGCTGTGATCAAGAAATCAATCGAGCGCAGGCAAAAGATTAAAACTCACCATTTTATTATGATAATGTTATTTGATATGTCAAATTACAAGTGTATGATGTAACATAAAAACAGTTACAAACATATGTATGCATATTTACATTATATTTATGAAAAGTAACAAGCTACATCTGTATAAAGAAAATACAACTATGACATGAGTTATTGGTACTATAAATTTTACAACAGATACTTGGTATTCTCGAACCATGATAATACCTAGACGTGTAGAAACCAATAAAACCAGAACAAGAGACATTAAGATGGAAACTAGGATGGACGTGAGGCACTTTTTTGAGGTTGTCAGGATGTGAAAGCAGATGGCACTAAAAGGAAACCAAAAAAAAAAAAAAAAAAAGATGCACAGGAAAAAGAAATGTGCACAAATAGAGAAAGTGAAAGAACGAAAAGTAAGAAAACAGGCAGTGTTTTACAGAATAGTTAAGAATAGTACCATTTATACTGCAAGTTTCAAAACACAAATGTCTTCCACTATTTAGAACTAATCACGTAAATGTTACATCGAGCGCTGTAAGATGAAAAAAAGCTTACGTATAGTATCATCAGTGCACCAAAGCATCGGAGAATCGAAACATAACCACTCAACTGCTGTAAAAAGTAACCGTTTTTTAAAACAATACACTGAAGAGAAACAGGTTTATATAGCTTTTTTTTCATCTTTCTTAATCTACACAATGTCAAGAATGTACACTTGTATGCATTCCCAAAGATATGCACAGTTTCCAAGATTGAAAGAGGATAAAAGACTAGCAGCAAAGTGGTTAAAACTGAAGTCTTTATATAATGCAGGTCAAAAAAATATATATATATATTAAAGCGGACAGACACATGTTGCATATATAATACAGTACATGACAGGAAGTTGCACTGTGCTGGTTAATGCAGAATGAGAAGTGTTATTTCAGCATTCTCTACACTTTGTATAAATGCACGTCCTACATTTTGCTTCTCAGCCAGCAAGTTTTAATCAGGTTCATCAAACCTTGGTTCAGCTTGCAATAATGCAGGGTAATCAGATTACAATGGGAGAAAAAGACAA